GTTATATCATTGTAACGAAGTTATATCATTATAACGATGTTATATCATTGTAACGATGTTATATCATTGTATCACTATATCATACATATGTTACATTGTAACGAAGTTATATTATTGTAACGAAGTTATATCATTGTAACGAAGTTATATCATTGTAACGAAGTTATATCATTGTAACGAAGTTATATCATTGTAACGAAGTTATATCATTGTAACGAAGTTATATCATTGTAACGAAGTTATATCATTGTAACGAAGTTATATCATTGTAACGAAGTTATATCATTGTAACGAAGTTATATCATTGTAACGAAGTTATATCATTGTATTACTATATCATACATATGTTACATTGTAACGAAGTTATATCATTGTAACGAAGTTATATCATTGTAACGAAGTTATATCATTGTAACGAAGTTATATCATTGTATTACTATATCATACATATGTTACATTGTAACGAAGTTATATCATTGTAACGAAGTTATATCATTGTAACGAAGTTATATCATTGTAACGAAGTTATATCATTGTATCACTATATCATACATATGTTACATTGTAACGAAGTTATATCATTGTAACGAAGTTATATCATTGTAACGAAGTTATATCATTGTAACGAAGTTATATCATTGTAACGAAGTAATATCATTTTATTACTATATCATACATATGTTACATTATAACGAAGTTATACCATTGTAAATAAGTTATATCATTGTAACGAAGTTATATCATTGTAACGAAGTTATATCATTGTCAAGCTATATCATTGTATTACGTTAACATACACGCGCCATACAGATATTACGTTACCATGAAGCGGTACGTGTATGGTTTCTTGGTGACATATATGATGGGTCTACTTTTGAAATCAAGGGTTTAAATCTTTACCTTGCTTTGACGTGCACTGTCACTGTATATCATTTTATATCATTTAATTATTCTATCATTTATGCATGTACAAGTCACGTGGATGACACGTGTAGCTACCTATTACGACTCCAGACTTTGCGTTCCTATTTTCCGCCGACACATCTTTAGAATTTCCTTCACTTGTGATATTTATATAACGTTAATACATTCTTTGATACTGGGAAATAGTCATGACGATTCACAAATGTTACAAATGGTGAACTACTGACGACAATCAGCACGTGTCTGTCTAACAATCTGCTACTCTGTAGGTTTATCTTCGGGTGTGCCGATCCCTCCTCTACCCGTGATCTCTCGTAAGACAAGGTTAAGTGTTAAAATACAACGAGTGTATCAATATAGGATTTCGTGATTTGCGATTCGTATTTGTATTCTATCTATTTTAACGTTCATACATATATATATTTAGAGTACAAAGTAGGATTATAACTCCTGCCTGGAACTTGTAACGGGAAACTCGGTAGATTTATGTTATATCACACAATCCAGAGATTTATGTTATATCACACAATCCAGAGATTTATGTTATATCACACAATCCAGAGATATATGTTATATTACACAATCCAGAGATTTATGTTATATCACACAATCCAGAGATTTATATTATATCACACAATCCAAAGATTTATGTTATATCACACAATCCAGAGATTTATGTTATATCACACAATCCAGAGATGTATGTTATAACACACAATCCAGAGATATATATTATATCACACAATCCAAAGATTTATGTTATATCACGCAATCCAGAGATTTATGTTATATCCCACAATCCAGAGATATATGTTCTATCACACAATCCAGAGCTTCATGTTATATCACACAATCCTGAGATTTATGTTATATCTCTGGATTGTGTGTGATAACATAAATCTCTGGACTGTGTGATATAACATAAATCTCGCAGAATGTCAGACGCATTAACCACAATAATTGATAACCCGTTATCAATTATTGTGGTTAATGCGTCTGACATTCTGCGAGATTTATGTTATATCACACAATCCAGAGATTTATATTATATCACGCAATCCTGAGATTTATGTTATATCACACATTCCAGAGATTTATGTTATATCACACAATCCAGAGATATATGTTATATCACACAATCCTGAGATTTATGTTATAACACACAATCCAGACCTCCATTTCTTTTCTTTTATTCTTCCTGTGCTATTTTCTTCTCGTCAAATTGTAGAGTTTTTATCACGAATTATAATCCATACTCGACATGTGTATTAGTGCACGTTTGTCGGTCGTAGCGGTGATAATCAGCCTTGTTATTGATAAAAGAATTACACAGCCCACTCTGCTTCAGTACATCGATTCATTCGGAACACCTCGAAGCCACCATTTTACAGGAAATAACATTTTTTTCTAAAAGAAAGTCCTAAGATGTTCCGGATGTTAACTTTGAAATATCATGCAATAGTTGTCCTGACAAAACAGATTCCAAGGGGTTCCATGTTATGTATGAACTAATGAATATCGACAATTTTCTAAATATGTTACCCAATGATCAAAAATATCGTTGTGTCTGGAATATATTAACACATGGTTGTAAAACCAGGCAAAACTTGAGGAGATATGCTATGATATTACATAGTTCCTTTCACTAGTACAGAATCTCCATGCTACCCCGATGGCACAACAACATAACCAAATGCAAACATATACCATGAGACACTCTAAATATAGACTATGTCGAATGTTATCCATTAAAAACGAAAAAAACACATTGTTGATATGTTTACTTGAAACGTTTCAAGGTTAGAAAATATACAAGACCCTTATGCCCGACTGTAAACCCAATGTAGATATGTAATAAAAATTCTCAATATTAAAGTCACAATGAGATTTTGATTTTAAGTTCGATTTTCATAAGTGTCAATTAAATGGAACGTTGTTTACGTTTAAAATATGTGCAGAAAACACATTTACCGAACGAATTTCAGAAATACTACGGATAAATAAAGGTCTAAATAACAGAGTAACCAATTGGCTACCTATTACGACTCCAGACTTTTCGTTCCTATTTTTCAAGAACACATCTTTAGACTGTCATTTACTTGTGCTATTTCTATAAGGTTAATAACTTCTTTGAAACTGGGAAATAATCATGAAGATTGAAACATGTTTTAAATGGTGAGATACTGATGGAAATCCGCACGAGTCTGTCTTTAATTATCTACTATCTATCTATATATAAATATATCTTTTTGGGTGTGACGATCCTTAAAGTAAGGTGAAGTATATGATAAAGTTTTACGACTTGTAGAAATTCATTGTCATATATCTACATAACGTATGATACATATAGAATCTTACATGAGTTTCCATTTCATATGACATTTATAAAACGAGTCTAAGAGTTTTTTCAATTTGACGAGCCTCAGGCGAGCTAGAATATAAAATTCGTGACGAGTTTCATAAATTTCAAATGAAATGTAAGATCCTTTTTATCACATGATCAAGATTTGTGGCATAAGCCATTTATTCGTATAAAACGACAATTTCCATGCACAATTTAAACAATGGGGACTTACATCCAATCACATGGCTGATATGTCATATCACATGGGTTAATACGCACACAAATATGACATTGGTATATTCACTGGATAACACAGCACATTATGTGTTAAAAGCAAGTTATACATAGGTTATTCGTTCTTCAACTTCAACAATGGCACTTAATGTCTCGCGGGTTATGTCCCGAAAACAAAACACTACAAAACAACAAGGGTATACCAAAGAGCCAACAAGACCATAAATCGAACTCAAAATCAACAACACTATGGCGAAATAGGAACAAAGGTAAGGTTTACATGGACACCCTTTGGCAATAGTTTCTTATAAAGATATCACTTCGTCGATATATCTGAATATCAAATTAAAAGTACTTGATTAAGTTTTTGTAACAAGTCCTGAAAAGCTCATCAATAAATTCATTTCCATACGAAAACAAAAACAAGTCGGCCAGAAGAGGGGCACATTTTGTTCTCATACAGTCTGATGGAACATCTTGCCATCGAACTCAACAACGATATTGTCAATCAAAAGAACTCAACCATTCTCACAATTGTATCCTCGGTATGTTTTGGCCTTTTACGGGCTTTTCGTAAGAACTGCTCCAACATTATTTACCGCCATATACTTAGTTTGCCATTAGTCTTTATTGCAAAAGAACATAATTATAAAACGAGAACGAAGTTGTTCCTTCAGTTTGTGTGAAGTTTGATTATTATCGAAATGTCAAAAGTTTTCATAGAAAAACATTTTTGAGAAGAGCATGTTCAAGGTTGATCAAAAGATCTTTTGAATACTTCGGAATCTGAATTCTTTTATTCCACCTCTCGAGTATACAGTGTCACGATACCGCCGTTACCCTTGTTTAATGTACTAAAAATGGTTGTGGTAAAGTGGAAGGATTTCTTTGCTTGGGAACTAGAAGAGCCAGTGATTGTTTTTTAAGGATTCATGTGAAGATGTGACATGTAATAAAAACGAGACAGGCATGTATCATTAGCATTAATTGGAATTCGGAAAAGTTGTACATGTAATGCAGACGCCTGGTTAGCTAGTATTTCGTCTTCCGAAAAAGACTGGGAAATGTAAAGGTATGGTGTCCTTTGTGATCAAGCAAACCTAGCTATAGTATACTTTGTCTGCAGACATAAATACATAACACGTACAGTACATCTGTTGAGTGTGGTTTGAACATTGGGGCCAATTGATACAGACAGTTTTGTTTTCATTTCGGATTTCTCCTTAATTATAGTGTAATATTAAATCACAGAGGAACAGACTCAAAATCAAACGTCATGTAGGATAACTTTGTGATCGTTGAAATATAAATGATAGTGGTGTACAATGTACTCATGAATCTCTAAGAATAACAGTCTATTTAGTGCAGGTTCCCGTGCTTATATTAGGAAAGCAGGTACAGGTCACCACAGAATAATCAAACATCAGATACACTAAACGATTAGGTAACAACTTATCTTCACCTAGAAATCTAAAATATCTTGCTTGTTTCCTTCCAGAACTACGTAACCGACCAACCAGGTAGTATCATGGTTCCACGAGCGAAACACGGTACCGTTCTGCTTTGTGTAGGTGAGTATCAAACAAAAATTGAAGGAAGAAGGACTTCTTAGGTTGTGAGAAAGATTTTCTCAGAAATCTTTGAAAGACGAATAAGTTCATAAGAAACATTTTGAGTAATAATTTTGTTAACTGAAAAGTAAATTTAACCTAAGTAAAGGCAATATACCCGTTGTGGACCTCTTTTCTTGATTTTGCCCGTGTTTTACGGTATTGTATGGTATTTTCTGGAACTGCTTCCACTCAGGAAAAAACAGCCGGAATATTTGTTAAGTAGTGTATTACGTATTTTGATGGCTCAACTAATTGTACAACAACAACATACATGACAGTAAGCGGAATAAACCCCACAACCAGAAAGCTGATGTGCTTCAACTGGCCTTAGATGATATCAGTTCAATACTTTGTTTCATGTATATCAAACTACTATTTTTTGTTCATGAATGGCCAAGTAATACGGAACAGAACTGCAGACAGATGGCGAAATAATACGTGACATTATGTGTTTGCATATTTTTCAGACTTATAAGACAGCGTTACCCCTAAACAGAACGTATTGTGATACTTTTGTTATATGTAGGTTGAATGAAGCATGCTACTCATTGTCTTATGAATATTGACATCACACTTTTTATATATCATTTGTTTTTTTCAACAGGAATATTTCTGTTTTGCCTGCCAAATTTATCATCATCATCATCATCAACATCAACGCAACAAACACTAACAACGTCGGAAACAAACGACCCATCATCATCAACGACAACAACAGTACCAACGTCAACATCCTCACAGCAACCATCGTCTACCCCAACGACTCTCATATCAACTGCCCCAGCGACTCCCTCATCAACTGCCCCAACGACTCCCACATCAACTGTCCCAACGACTCCCTCATCAACTGCCCCAACGACTCCCTCATCAACTGTCTCAACGACTCCCTCATCATCTGCGACAACGACTCCCTCATCATCTGCGACAACGACTCCCTCATCAACTGTCTCAACGACTCCCTCATCAACTGCCACAACGACTCCCTCATCGTCTGCCCCAACGACTCCCTCATCAACTGCCCCAACGACTCCCTCGTCAACTGTCCCAACGACTCCCTCATCAACCGCCACAACGACTCCCTCATCGTCTGCCCCAATGACTTCCTCATCGTCTACACCAACGACTGTCTCATCATCTGCCGCACAGCCTTCCTCATCATCTGCCGTGCCGACTACTACAGTCACCACCGGTGCACCGGAGGAGTACCCCAATACACCAGTAAACGAAGGTTTGTGTACAAAGGCAAGAACAACGAAAGACACACAACTTTTATATTAGGAATAGATGGTGAATGGTGTATGGTGAATGCACGATCACATTTAATACTACTCATGGAAAGAATGTATATAGGCTTGCCTGTTATTCTATCCATTTGACTATTTCATCTGTCAAATTTTGTTGAAATGAAAATGCACGAGAGGGTCGTACATTTCCCCCAAAGTTGATTTCGACTGACTTATATCTGAATGACGATCATGGTTCGACGCTACTGATTCTGTTAAAACTGAACTTAATGCATGACAAAATGAAATTATTTATTTTGTATTTGGTTGATGTACAATGTTCCACCCGGTTACATTACATTGATAACGGGTTATCAATTATTGTGGTTAATGCGTCTGACATTCTGCTACCACTAGCACTCCACCACTGGGTTCGAGGCCTACGTGGGAAAGTCGCCAGGTACTGGCCGTAGGTCGGTGGTTTTTCCCCGGGAACTCCGGCTTTCCTCCACCACTAAAACCCTGGCACTTCCTAAATGACCATTACTGTCAATAGGACGTAAAACACAAACAAACCAATTATTGCGATTACCCTAAATGCTGAAAGTTAAGCAGGGAATACTGTAACAACTCTGGTATGTTCTGATATTGAGACATAACCCATTACGTACCTACGTGGACGGACGCTCAATACTAAGACAAAAAGGGAGGTATTACCACGGAAGGTGCTAGGAAACAAAAAGGTGGTTAGAAAGTACAGAAAAAAACCAAGAAGATCCCAAATATTGCGACGAGGCAGCAGATCAGTTCTGGTTCCTTCCGTGTCTCCTTAATAAAAAAAACCACCCACACAGAACAAAAAAATGTTCTCCAGGGGGCCACGTATAACATGCCCTTTACGACATTCAGTGGGTACAGCTGGGCTATTCCGTCCCAGAAGCTGTAGGGGCATGACGACTTAGGGCAATAGGAAAACTTGTCGTGAAACTCACCGTTATCAGACCAGACAAGTAATTCAGTAATATTTCCTAGTTTATACGATTGTACTACAGATCAATTACTGCAGATTACCTATATCGATGATACTTATCTTCCCATAAGTTCAAGTTAAAAATTGATTAACGATGGAAGTATCACTTGAAATGAGTTTTACACAATGCATACTGATGAAAACTCGCGTTAATATTAGCGCAAATAGATACGAAACAGCATATGGATAATCTATTGTAGTTTCCGGGAATATAACTCATTGATTCAACGAAAACATGATGGTATGAAAAGACTGTATTGACCCCTTAATTAGCATTGTGCAGGAATCGACCTTCGTTATGACTGTTGAGTTTAAAGAAATGATTTTTGTACATTCTGTATTAAATAGGTGATGATTCTGAGTGTTGTAGTAATACTATGTAGTTTTTCTACCAAAGTTGTAGACTAGAAATATAAAATATATATATATAAATATGCTACAATCCTATCAATTTACGGAGAACAATGGAAGTGAATATTTTTAAAACGTTAAAAATAACCGTAATGTGTCATTCTCAAAAACTAAATTATTAACAAACGAACTGCAGGTCCAGTTTTTTGTTTAGTCGGTAAGATATGTGATGCATTTGGTTTCGTCTCATTTGTCATTTAGAATGTATGACGCCTTCCCTTTTGTTTTGGTGTCTCCTCACTACCTGTCCTATTGTGTGGACTAAGAAGGGTACTGATTGGCCTTGTGATTTGACGATGTGTTAATTTTGTGATTATTTCATCATACATATACATACGCACCAGGTCAGGGCCGGGTGTCTACCGGCTCGATTGGTTATTGGGGTTGGGGGTCGGGGGAGGGAGGAGCAGAATTTCAAAGTATTAACAAAACTGTAATTCGAGCCAAAAGTCCATAAAATTAGCTCAATATGTACAAATAAAACACTTTAATGGAGAAATCTGACTAAAGGATCAGGATAATATCATCAGGTGTTCGAGTGTTCTGCATTCTAAACAACCCTGTTATATAAATAAAGGTCAGGTTCCGCATTCGAATCCCTGTCTGGTCGCCTTACGTTTTCCCTGTCCTGTTACATGTATGCGTAATTGTTATTGTTTTTTACTGTTTTAGAATCCTACTTTGAGTTGAAAATTGCCTTCAGCTACAAAAACAGCTCGAATGCAAGTACAATTGTTGCGAAAGTAAGTAACATGGTTCATTTAGAACCACTTCTAAATAACTCATTTATTTCCTGTCAAAACAACTGGGGATACTTTGTAAGGACAGATTTATTTATGAATTAAGCATGTTGATGAAAGGAACCAAGTAAAGGAAATACTTACTACACCTTTAGTATTAACACTTTGCATCAGTGATAAGTATGTCATGTTAAAGTAGATGGCATTCATAGCATCAGAAATGTCAATTGGCATTTATGATGTCATCTTTGTCAAGTGTCAGTAGTTTATTCTAGTATATGTCATGTTAATGTTTATTTTTATTATACAGTAAGATCCACATTATGTGAGTTAATACTTAATAAAAGACGATGCTATCATGTACATCTGTTATCTGAGGGTACATACATTTGGTAGTGTATATAATTAACTAAACGTTTCTTCGTGGACTGTAAAAGTAAACGTTTTTGCGATGTGATTTTTTGCTCATTCAGGTTAACCAAGTCATCGCTAAAATATGCATCCGCGAATATATAGACAAGCTATAAGATATATGTGTGTAACATTTTTAACGTAAACTTTTCTTCACCACGCAAAGTTTGAAGAGTAAAAATGCAATCTGCTTTAAATACTATTATACATGTCTCAATAGCGATACTCCCGCCTGCCTCCTTATTCCATTGTAGTCCATGTATGACCTTTTAGTGTCGACGAGCCTTGTACAAACTATCGCTTCACCCGAGAGATTTTGGGGATTGATCATTTGTTTGGTATTTAAGTTTAATAAGATAAGTTAATTTAAAGCATGAACAACTAAACCAATCTGATTAAAATCATATGTTCAGGCGGAGCCATGTAACAGATGATTTTAATCAGATTGCAACTAATCATGAGTTACAGCTCACAGATATCTAAGCGCAGGTAGAATGTGTTTCAAATAGTGGTAAATACATTGTATATTGGGGCGAAAACTTAATGGTTTAGTGTTTATGAGCATGAATTGCTGTTCCGTTGGATTCGCGTTTATGACCAGATATTGTTGTTCTATTTCGAAAATATTATCATGATGTTATATTTTGCATTGACAGCTCAACACAGTGTTTAAAGATACTCCAGGATTTCTAAAAGTGACTCTGAATGCGTCTCCGAATAGGTAATAATGGCATCCTTCTTATTTCTATACCATATGGTTCTGTTGTTGTTACATGCTAACATGATAGCTAGAATTCTACTATAGAAAACAAACGTGTGAAAAAGTTAGTGTTTCGATGAAGAAACCTAACAAAGTAACTATTTTCACAACACCATATATGGTCATGTCATCCGTGTACGACACATCAGTGGTACTAAGTGACAGAAGGATTCAACTCGTGTCTTAAGTGTTCGGAAACGTATGTAGAATACATCGAAATGGTAAATGTGCCTGTTAAGGTAGGCGCGGTAGTCTAGTGGTAGGACGCCGGGCTCGTGGCCGAAGGGTTGTGAGGCACGGCAGTCTAGTGGTAGGACGCCGGGCTGGTGACCGAAGGGTTGTGAGGCCCGGTAGTCTAGTGGTAGGACGACGGGCTCGTGACCGAAGGGTTGTGAGGCACTGTAGTCTAGTGGTACATGTAGGGCGCCGGGCTCGTGACCGAAGGGGTGTGAGGCACGGTAGTCTAGTGGTAGGACGCCGGGCTAGTGGCCGAAGGGTTGTGAGGCACGGCAGTCTAGTGGTAGGACGCCGGGCTCGTGTCCGAAGGGTTGTGAGGCACGGGAGGCTAGTGGTAGGACGCCGGACCGAAGGGTTGTGAGGCACGGAAGTCTAGTGGTAGGACGCCGGGCTAGTGGCCGAAGGGTTGTGAGGCCCGGTAGTCTAGTGGTAGGACGACGGGCTCGTGACCGAAGGGTTGGGAGGCACGGTAGTCTAGTGGTAGGGCGCCGGGCTCGTGGCCGAAGGTTTGTGAGGCACGGTAGTCTAGTGGTACATGTAGGGCGCCGGGCTCGTGACCGAAGGGTTGGGGGGCACGGTCGTCTAGTGGTAGGACGCCGGGGTCGTGGCCGAAGGGTTGTGAGGCACGGGAGGCTAGTGGTAGGACGCCGGACCGAAGGGGTGTGAGGCACGGTAGTCTAGTGGTAGGACGACGGGCTCGTGACCGAAGGGTTGTGAGGCACTGTAGTCTAGTGGTACATGTAGGGCGCCGGGCTCGTGACCGAAGGGTTGTGAGGCCCGGTAGGCTAGTGGTAGGTCGCCGGGCTCGTGGCCGAAGGGTTGTTAGGCATGGTAGTCTAGTGGTAGGACGCCTGGCTGGTGACCGAAGGGTTGTGAGGCACTGTAGTCTAGTGGTACATGTAGGGCGCCGGGCTCGTGACCGAAGGGTTGTGGGGCGCGGTAGTCTAGTGGTAGGGCGCCGGGCTCGTGGCCGAAGGGTTGTGATGCACGGTAGTCTAGTGGTAGGACGACGGGCTCGTGACCGAAGGGTTGTGAGGCACGGGAGTCTAGGGGTAGGACGCCGGGCTCGTGACCGAAGGGATGTGAGGCGCGGTAGTCTCGTGGTAGGACGCCGGGCTGGTGACCGAAGGGCTGTGAGGCACGGTAGTCTAGTGATAGGACGCCGGGCTCGTGGCCGAAGGGTTGTGAGGCACGGAAGTCTAGTGGTAGGACGCCGGGCTCGTGTCCGAAGGGTTGTGAGGCACGGTAGTTTAGTGGTAGGACGCCGGGCTCGGGGCCGCAGGGTTGTGAGGCACGGTAGTTTAGTGGTAGGACGCCGGGCTCGTGGCCGTAGGGTTGTGAGGCACGGGAGTCTAGGGGTAGGACGCCGGGCTCGTGGCCGAGGGGTTGTGAGGCACGGTAGTCTAAAGGTACATGTAGGACGCCGGGCTCGTGACCGAAGGGTTGCGGGTTCGGAACTGTGTTGTATCCTTGAACAAGATACTTTACTCCGCTTGATCCAGTCGACTCAGCTGTAAATGAGTACATGGTTGGGCAGTGCTAGAATTGTTGAATGCTAGCTGTGAGAGCCGATATGACAACACCGGCTGTATGCATTTGATGATATATATTACCTCTCGGATGGTCCCCCCGGTACCTAGTCCATCCCAATGGTACATCCATACGTGATGTGTTTATAAATTAATAAATAAATAGATTAATTACAGATACTCAGCAAATATTGTTTTGTAAAAATCCGTTCCCTATTTACAAATTAATAAATAAATAGATTAACTACAGATTCTCAGCAAATATTGTTTTGTAAAAATCCGTTCCCTATTTACAAATTAATAAATAAATAGATTAATTACAGATTCACAGCAAATATTGTTTTGTAAAAATCCCTTCCATGTTTGTCTTCCATAGTTGAAGCAAGTTATGTCAAATGTCAGTTCTATGAAAAATCGTTCACGTAGTTTTCTGTAATCAATTACACAATGAATTTTTTTTTGCAGAACAAATACGTTATCAGTCGTCTTAATTGACTTAAACAGATTTAAAAAACCATGTTTCTAAATTGAATTCGTCCCAGTACTATTGACTGTTTATCGTTTGTTTCAGAGTGAGAAGGGACACAACGCCAACTGACAGTTTTACAGTATCTTTCGTCGCCGATGTCATACAAAACAACACTGATTTTGATTCAGCCATTCATCAGAATGTTGCTAGGCTGAGTGCTGATTTAACTTTCGATGACAACATTAACAGCACGATTGATACCTGTACGTAGCTCGAACCTGTTTGAAGGGGCTGGTCGGGGGAAAAAATACAAAATAAATGGGTCTAAATGCGTTCTCTGGCCTTCCAAAAGTTATACCACGGCAATATGATGGTCGAGTTCTGCTTGCAATGTCCAGTTTTGACCACTAAAATCTCGGGGGAAGCCCCGCGTAAATTTAGCGCAGGCGTTAAGCTTGTTAATGACACGCGTGCGGTAAAATTACATCACTGATCTGGGTCAATTGAGAGTTTTAGACTGTCAGGTGACGATTTAGGATTTCTTTAATATAATTGTAATTTTTACTCTTAAGGAGTGAATTTCAGCAAAATTTGAATCGGTATATTTCATAAGAAGGTATTTTAACCATGTGTATGCCATTTTAGCAAATATGACATTTTTTCCCCGACCAGCCCCTTTAAATTGAAATGTAAAATAGCATGTTATACATTATATAGTTTAAAAAGTATATTATCGTCCTCACTTTGCAGTTAAAGTCAGTCTTTTGTCATAGAATGAGACTAGTAACAAAAGGGGTTATCGGCTAGTATTAGACCCTTCCCTTTCTTTACAGTTCTAGCCTGTTTCATCCTCGAAACTCAAGGGAATACGCTCACTTTCGCTGATGACGCCGAACAACTTTAACTTCATGTGTTGGAACATAGAAGGTATTATGGCCGGTATGCCCTACCTTCTAGATTGCTTGCATAAATATGACGTTGATGTATGTGGTATCTCTGAGCATTGGGTCAGGGAATGCAATATTTCGTTTTTTGAATCTTTTAAAAACACTGGTTACTCGTGTTTCGTTAAACCTGTCAACGAAATCGATCCTTTTCGCTATAGATGCAACATTAGAGGTGGTGTTTGTATGTTATTCAGAGAGAATTTGAGAGTACAAGAAATTATTGTCGATAGTCCAAGAATCTTAGGTGTTGAAGTTCAAATGCTAAATAATGAGTACCTTTACGTTTTCTCCGTTTATATGCCTGCGACCTCCAGGTCGATTGATGTTTTGTTAGATCAAATAGATATTTTAGAATCTGTGGTTTCTGTATATTCCGAGAAGGGGAAAGTTGTTATACTCGGAGATATGAACGTGCAAATCCAAGGTAGTCGGTGTCGATTTGCTGGTAACGACAGATCTTTAAGAGTTCAAGCTTTTTTGAATAGTACAAATATGGAATCTGTAAATGTGACGGACAAATGCAAAGGTCCAATGTATACGTATTATCCAACAACGGGATATTTCACTACTATCGACCATATTATTATTGACTCAAGTTGTTTCGATTTGGTTAAACACTGTGAAGTTTTAGATGATCATGAGTTAAATGTTTCTGAACACAATCCTGTAATTTGCATGATGAATATTCCTAAACAATTTTGCAAAGTTTTAAGTCCCGAATGGGTCAGATTTAATTGGAGAAAAGCTGAAATGAATGGGTCTATTGACCTTTATAGATATCATGTAAATTGTCTCCTCAACAATGTTGAGATACCTGATGATGTTGTACATACTAATGATATTGATATATTTTACAACAAAATCAAATGCTGTTTAATTGAGGCGTCAGACAAGTCATTTCAAAGAAGTTCTTTTAAGAAGTATTTGAAACCATATTGGAGCAAGGAATTATCTGAATTGCACAATGAAATGGTTTCCAAGAGGTCGTTTTGGAATGCGTCTGGCAGACAAAGAGGGAAAAATAATTTGTTCATTGAATACAAGGCTTTGAAAACAAAATTCAGACGATGTCTTCGTCATGCTTTTAATATATATATGAAAGAACAATTCGCCGAAATAGATAAATCTGGAGACGTTGACCAAAATCTCTTCTGGAAACTATTTAAAAATCGTTCTAACAATGCTGGTTGTTGTCAAACAGAAATGAAGTACAATGGCACCACACTACGTGAACCCGAACAAATTGTAGATGCTTGGGGTCATCATTTTAGTAAGTTGTTCAATAATGAAACGCTTGAGTCGTTTGATAAAAACTTTTTTCAAGATGTATTACTTAAGGTAAATGAAATTCAAAATAAGTCTAATCAAGAGAAAGATATATTTCTGTCAGAAATGTTTACCACGGACGACATGCGGGTAGTATGTAAGAAACTTAAGAATGGCAAAGCTGGTGGGTATGATAGCCTGGTCTATGAACACATTAAGTATGGAGGTGATAGATTATTAAGCCTCATTACCAAATTGTTCAACCTCATTGTAAAATATGAGCATATACCTGAAGACTGGAAAAAGGAACAATTTTTACTTTGTACAAGGGCAATGGAAAATCCAAAGACGACCCAAACAGTTATAGGGGTATAACTCTTATTCCCGTCTTTTTTAAAATATTCGAGTCAATTTTGTCACTCAGAATGGATTCTTTACTAGATTCAGAAACGTATCCAAACAGACAGCAGTCGGCTTATATGAAACATTTATGTAGTCTATGCACTTCCTTTAATTTACAGGAATGTGTGAGATACAACCTAGAAAATGACTCTGATTCTTTTGTTGCATTTTTAGATAGCAAGAAAGCCTTTGATACTGTTTGGCATGAAGGGTTACTTCTCAAACTGTACAAAATAGGATTTAAGGGCAAAATTTTGACTATATTAAAAAATATGTATACCGGTTTTGTAAGTCATGTCGCCTTTAAGGGTCACCAGTCATCACCTGTCCTCATGAAGAGAGGGATCTTACAAGGGGGGTCATTATCTGCAAAAATGTACCTGGTTTTTATTAACGATTTACTAAATGATGTCGAATCGTCAGGTAAAGGAGCTTTTGTTATTGATACCAGGGTTAATATTCCCACACAAGCAGATGACATATGTTTGATCAGTAACACAAGTATTGGTTTACAAGATATGGTTACAATTTGCGAAAACTATAGTCGTAAATGGAGATTTTCATTCTCTGTTGATAAAAGTAAAATAGTTGTTTTTACAAAAGGCAGAAGACAAATCTTGGTAAAAGATGTGAATTTGTATGGTAAAGCATAACCAGTTGTTGAAAAACATTACGCACGTCGGTGTTGTTTTGAATTTTAAATTGTGTACGTCGGACAGAACTGAGTCTGCATGCAAGAAACTAAAAAGTGGAACCATGGCTCTTATTCGATCTGGTGCTCATCCTAGGACCCTTAATCCTCTAACAGTTGCAAAGCTGATTAAGGCTAAAGTTTTCCCGTCTGTCCTGTACGGGTGTGAACTATGGCAACTGTCTAGAACAGATCTAATCAAATTAGAGCGCGCTCAAAATTTTATCGTAAAATCCATTCAAGGGTTAAATATTAGAACTAGAACTGATATGGCCAACTCCTTAATTGGATGGACCTCCATAGAAGGTTACATTGATATAAGAAAACTTTTATTTCTCGGTCGTCTTTGTAGACTGGACAGTAAATACTTAAATCATACTATATTTCTCAAACGCCTATTCATGCATATTTTGAAGGAGTCCTGTCAAACTGGTTTTATTCCTGATATTGTGAGAATACTTAGCAAGTATGATTTGTTTAATTATCTGTTGCAGTATATTTCAGACACAGTTTTTCCAAGTAGTTCATCATGGAAGTTAATTTCCGATAAAGCAGTTTATAATTGGGAAGAATTAATGATGTACGATAGAATGAACAACGATTCAGATTTCACAAGATTTGTGCTCATTCATGATGTAATTTCTCCACATATTTTATGGACAGTAGCATTAAAATTCCCTGAACATCTAAGCAAGATAAGCAATATAGTTCGATTATGTGTTAATTTAAGATCAACAAATATTATTGAATTATGCCATTTTTGTGGTATTTTACATAATGACTGTATAACACATATAGTAATCCATTGTACAAAAACTGAAAGTCTTAGAGACGATCTATGGTGTCTTATAAGTCCGGCTTTTGATATAGAACTTGGCGTGTTCTTATCCTCTTTGTCTGATTATGATTTAATTCATGTATTGTTAGGGGGTAGCCTTCCGAACATATTAAGTTCAACTGATTATGTAACCTTTGTACTGCATAATGCTATTTTTATTGACAAAATGTTGCTGTTGTATCAGCGTTAATAATGATATAACACGTACAAACGTACGTACAATAGCAATGTCTACCTAATTCCTATTTTTTTCTCTTATTTTGTGTGTTTATGTGTGGGTAAGCCTGAGAAGACCTTGTTGGTAGGGCTTTCCCCAACCCTTGGAAACCTCAGGATTCCCAGGCATTCTAATTATTTTGTATGATTTGCTGTTAACGAGACCATTCTTTCTGTATTTACTAAACGAATTCAAGATTCATTAACTTCTCTCTTCATCTCTGTAGTTAACTGATGTATTTATGTGCATGTAAGTATCAATCAATAATATTTGATTTGTATTTTGACAACACTGTATACTTTTGTAACTCTTCAATTTGGAGGAAATAAAGAAATAATAATAGCAAAATTGAAGGCACCAAGATAGCTGTTTGATTGGTCTCGGGTGAAAAAAACTTGACCAACCGCTGGGCCGATACATGTCCGTGGGAAACTACACAAGACCGACACCTACGTTCGACGCTAGCTAATTTTTACCGTTACGTGATCGCGAGATTCTTGTGATGTACATCAAAGGATCGAACTAGTCTTCTTGTCTCATCAACAAGGTGGTCACACTTTGCTATGATATTCCAGGGGTGCAGTATATTTATTGTGAATCTATATAATATGCCTTAAGAAAAAAGGGGCCGCCGTGGCCAAGTGGTTAAGGCGTCTGACATTCTGCTACCACTAAACCTCCACCACTGGGTCGTGGTGGCAAGTGGTTCAGGCGTCTGACATTCTGCTACCACTAAACCTCCACCACTGGGTCGTGGTGGCAAGTGCTTCAGGCGTCTGACATTCCGCTACCACTAAACCTCCACCACTGGGTCGTGGGGGCAAGTGGTTCAGGCGTCTGACATTCTGCTACCCCTAAACCTCCACCACTGGGTCGCCGTGTCCAAGTGGTTACGGCGTCTGACATTCTGCTAACACTAAACCTCCACCACTGGGTCGCC